TTGGTAGACAGCAACCGCCCAGGGAGGTACTACCGTCCTGCCAAGTGAGTGTAAAACGAAAGCCTGTAATTGTTTTACATGATGGTAGGATTCCTGGTGTCCTTTTTTCTGTCTCATAAACATGCAAGATTTCAGGTATGTATTGCTACTTCTACTTACACTTAGGTCACACTACACATACATGTACAAGCATATATATACACACCCCTCTGGGTTTTCTTCTATTTTCTTTCTAGTTCTTGTTCTTGTTTATTTCCTCTTGTCTCCATGGGGAAGTGGAACAGAATTCTTCCTCCGTAAGCCATGCGTGTTGTAAGAGCCGACTAAAATGCCAGGAGCAAGGGGCTAGTAACCCCTTCTCCCGTATAAATTACTGAACTTAAAAAGAGAAACTTTCGTTTTTCTTTTTGGGCCACCCTGCCTTGGTGGGATATGGCCGGTTTGTTGAGAAAAAAAAATATATATATGTATTTATCTGTGTTGTGTGTATGTAAAACTATAGTTATTATTTAAAAAATGTATTTTTTTTGTGAATATTTTTGTGGGTCTGGAATGGATTAATTTTATTTCCATCATTTCTTATGGGAAATATTGCTTGGCCTTTCAGCCGTTTCGCGTTTAGGCCTAGCTCCTGGAACGGACTATGGCTGAGACCCGGGGTTTCACTTTACAGTATTGTTGTGTATGTAAAACTATTGTGTGTATGTAAAACTATAGTTATTATTCAAAAATGTATTTTTTTGTGAATATTTTTGCGAGTCTGGAATGGATTAATTTTATTTACATTATTTCTTATGGGAAATATTGCTTCGTCTTTCAGCCGTTTCGCATTTAGGCCTAGCTCCTGGAACGGACTATGGCTGAGACCCGGGGTTTCACTTGACAGTATTGCTGTGTAGTTCCATAAGCCACTTTAATTATTCAGTGCAGGTAATTCATCAACAAACTGATTATACCGTATTACCAAAGATGCGATTAAATCCAAAATGCGACAGCCTTTCATTATTACCAGTATTGTACCATCTGAATATGGTGCCAAATAATGTGTAATTGGATAGTATAAAAATTCACTAAAGGTAGACTACAAGACTGAGAGAATACCAGTTTTCTTTATTTATATGTCTTTTTTTTTATTCAAACTAAGTTTGAGTAAGAATTTTGCCAAGAAATTTGTACTTCTGCTTCAAATCTACATTATTTTATTAAAAAAGTTTTGAGACTTAAATTTTAGTGTGTAACTTAAAAAATATTGAAACCACAATTGAAACTAGACCTGAAGAGGCCCAATGGTTTATAGAAAATTGGTTTATTTGCTTTGAAAGTTTAAACAAATGCCAGTTAAAGAACTACGTGAATGAGACACAAATAACCATACATAGGAGAATGAAACTTGTGACAACGTTTCAGTCCGACTTCAGCTGGGTAGGATGAAATGACAATCTTGTTGAATTAAAAATGTGGTAATAAGAGTAAGATGCAATATCACAGAAAAAAGTTTTAAGTAATACAGATTGATGTTAAGAGCATAAGTGGTTATTTTCAAGAAATAAGAAGTGTCAGGTGGAACATTTTGTTGTACTTATTTTTTCATAGCAAAATGTGATGGGTACAATTATAGTAGGTGGAATGGTGAAGGTTATTAAATTTAAATGTTGAGAATAATATTCAGCAATTAAAGTACATTGAAAGAAAAAATAAGAGCATCATTTTGGTAAAAGATGATCAGACCCCTGAAGGGCCATAATAATATAATGATATAAACGGAGAAGTAAGCTGTTTGCTCTCCAAAATAGGGCAAGGCTTATGAAATAAACTAGTGTATTTGAAGGTGGGTAACATTGGATCAAAACAAGTAATACTCACAAGTTAGTGTACACTGGACCCCCAGATTTCATCCAGTGCGGAAATCGTACAATTCAGATTTCAACCACTTTTTTCAGTGAAATTTTACCCTGGGTTTCGTACATCCACTCGGAATCGTCCGTACCAAATGTGTCCGCCTGGGCTGCTCACACGTTCGTGACTCACTCTTGGGTACATTAAATGTCTTATTTACGTTAATACAGTGGAACCCCAGATTTCAGCCGTAATCCGTTCCAGGTCGGCCTCAATCCAAAAAAGCTGAAAACCGAAGTAACATTTCCCGTAAAAATCAATGTAAATACAATTAATCCATTCCAGACACCCAAAAATATTAACAAAAAATACATTTTTTAAAGATTAACTATAGTTTTACATACAGTAAAAATGAAAAATAAATATAAAATACAATTTTAATGATAAATGAACATTACATGTATAACTTTATTGAAGACTCTTAATGACGTATTGAAGAAGGTGAGGAGGGGAGAGGGAGTTGGGGTTATTGTTTGGACAGGGAATCCCCCTCTTCAGGTATCAAGTCTCTATTCGGGGTTACTTCCCTTCTTTGTCTTTTATTGGCACTAGGACCAGCTTGAGAGTCACTGCACCCCTGTCGCACAAAAAAACTGTCCAGAGAGGTCTGTTTCTGGCATCACTTTAAGATTTGACTGAAGTGGGACAAGATTTTGTCACTGAACTCTATTGCATTTCTCACTTTCTTTACCAAAGGGCTGGCACTAGGAACTTTCTTTGGGCCCATGGTTGCTTATTTTGCAGTCGCACTCAATAAACAACCACAAAAAAAATAGATCATAACGAAATGTTTGGATGAATGCACGGAGTGTTGCTCACTCACCCAGACACACAACCAGACTGACTCACGAACGTGGTGGAGTAGTGGGCGGATGCCTCCAATACAGCCAAAATCCAGGATAGAATTTCGGCCAAAAAAGCGACCGAAATCCAATTTGGCCGATATCCGATATGCCTTTGTTACTCGTTCACTAAGAGTGTCCCTCTAGTCTTAACACCATAGTAAAAATACTAATACGTAATAATAATCACTTGGGCACATTAAATGTCTTATTTTACATAGACATTTTCATTAATCCATCTATGATATTTTCTTCAAAATTATATAAGAAACACATCACATAGCATTTAAGCATGCAAAGTTTGCATGCTATGTATGTTTAATAATAATCACTCTTGGGCACATTAAATGTCTTATTTTATGTTAATACTGTATAGACATTTTCATTAATCCATCTATGATATTTTCTTCAATATTATGTAAGAAGCACGTTACATAGCATATAAACATGAAATGTTTATATGCCATGGAGGGGTATAAATCAGTGGAGGGAAAACATTATGTTTTCTCTGGTCCAGCATTAGAAAAAACATGTATGAATCTGTGTTGGCCCAGTCACCGCTTTCGTTTACAATTCTCAGCATGAATTATTCATTACTTCTCCCTTTGTTTATGATGGTGTCTAAGGTTGTTAGAAACAATTAAACTCAGTGAACATGGTATGTCGATGGTAATAATGTGACTCTGGGCCGCAGTGTAGGTAGCTGGTAGGTGTAGCCCAAGCGGGCTACATGTACCAGCTACCTACACTGACATCCTACATATAAATACTACTCACCTCTTGCCCTACATTAAGACTACAAATATTTTAAGGTAAGTATTGAATGTACTGTGTATGTATATTGACTTTTTATTGTTTTTAATGCCTAGTTCTATTACTAACTTAATTTATTTTTTGTTAATATTTTTGGGTGTCTGGAACAGATTAATTGGATTTACATTATCTCTCATGGGAAATATTACTTTGGTTGTCGTCCATTTCAGATTTCGACCGACCTTCTGGAACAGATTAAGGATGAAAACCAGGGCTCCACTGTATACTGTATACTGTTATATGGGATTTCTGGGAAAGCCAATAATTTAAGGTGCTGAGTCACAGAACACTTAGCCAAAAAGAATAAAAAGGTACAACAGTGTGACTGGAACAATACATGAATAACCCGCACATAGGAGAATGAAATCTACGACAACATTTTCAGTGTAACTAGTTAATGGTCCAGGTCAGACCAAAACTATCTTAAGTTTCATTCACTTAGCCAAATCTACATTTCAAAACTTTTAGAGATACAGCAGAGATGATGTATGATACAACTGAAAGAAGCTATAGAAGAAAGATAGTCAAGTGCACAGTATTATTGAATGAAAAAATGTAGGAATACATGTTGACAGAAATTGTATGAGGGAAATAATTGGAATGAAACAAATAACAAAGCCACATTTGGAGAGGATTGCCTGCAAACTTGTTTTTTTACCAAGGCTACCAATCAAATTTAAACTCCTAAGGATAATAATTTCAACACTTTTAACCCTTTGACTGTCGCGACCCCAAATCCTAGTGTCTCTGTGTCACAAAATATTCGAAAAAAAAAAACAAAAAAAAATCTTATGAAATGACAGAATGCTAATGACACCAAAAGTACAAAATTTGATGAAAAACTTATGGAATCACACTCTTGTAAAGTTAGTGATCTCAGTGATATTTATGCATTGGCGATTTCGCCCACTTTGAGCCCTATTTTTGGTCAATTTCATTGTATCAGTCGACCAAACTCATAGCTATTTCTTTAGAACTACATTTGTTCTATCGATTAAGTACAAGACACAGCTCATTTACTGATTTTAATTACCCAATAACATGGTCAGAAATTGGCAATTTGGCCAATTTCATGCAAATTAAAAAATGTCAATTTCAAAATAGGATCCAGAATGAAAAATGCAGGCATTCCTGGCACTAAAATAACATTTTCTCTGTCCATCAGTCACATCTCCAGGTCCCTCTTATATTACTCTTATTTTCTATTTTGAATTGTTATTCACACAAAAATAGAAGATTTACTGTTATGTGGACTATGCATTATTATAATAATTGTATAAATAATGTCAACCCATTCGTGACTGCATATTAGAATGGCTAGTTGGACACTTAATGGACCAATCAAAATCATCTCTATTTCTGTAATATGTCTTCCATTCTATCAAATGAGACCAAGAAAACGAGAATACAACCATAAATACTAAACAAAAATACACCTCAAAGTTGGCGTTTCAATCCAAAAACATGGTCGGAGTTTTTTTTTTTTCTCATTATACACTGCATGCTGCAGGATTCTTTTTATACTGCACACACTGACCCATTCTCTCGCATGTGGGCCTACCAGTTTTCTCCCACTTGATTTGAAGCCACTACAATTTTGGCGTATTAATACGTCAAAAACATTGGCTCGTAAGACATATATATATGACCGAAACAGTCAAAGGGTTAACACAAAAAGTAATGGAATAAAAAGTATTAAAATGCCATTATTTTAGTTCACTTTTAACCTATTCTCAAGATTTACATCATGAAAGCAAGGTACTGTAATCTTATGATCCTTAATTCATAAAAATATCTCGTCTGCTACTTCAAAAAAAAAAAAAAAGTTGGGAAACAATACTGTATGTACCATATTATACTTGCATATATAAGAGGAAATCCACAGGTCTGGAAATAAACATGTTGTAGTACATACTGTACCTTAGATGATGTTTAAGATGAAGATGCTCTGCTATTTTATATAAGAAATCTGATAGTCTTTGTCACCTCCTTTCCTGAAGAGCTTTCTGCCACAACCATTAATTTAGCACACTTACAGACACCTTCACCTGTTTCTTGCCTCAACATGTAATTGTCTCAACATGTACTTTATGTACACACCAAACCTCAATGTATTGTTTATCTCAATACTAGTACTCTTACAAGTTTAAAAACATTAGCACTTAATAATTAGTAAACATTTCCTTCATATTTCCAATTTTTTTCACTTCACAACCAAATCCCACGTGTAATAAATGATTTGTTACAAGCACACCTAGAAACTAAGTTTCCTCAAGGCCTTAATTTCACACAAGCCTTATTGATGCCTTAAATTCAAAATGTCCAATCAATGGCTCGGAATCTATTAACTTTACTCTAGTGCTAACTAAAGTGCACAAGTTTCATACAGCTGCAGCTTTCTGCACCTTTGTGAGGAACCCTTAGTAGTAAAAGGGTCTTTGTTTCCAGTGCCCGCTAAGTTAACACAAATAAATTTCATCAACTCACTGCTGATGACTGAAATCACCGGATATTTTTTTGTAAACTCTATAACAATATTTACACAGTTGCAATGAGAGTAAAACGTTCAATTTCAAAAGATATATAACCCGTCAACGTCTACGAGTTCCAAGTGAATTGGCAATGTCTTAGTTTCACAAAAAATCTGTCTGCACCTCATATTAGCACATTAGTTTGTAATGCATTACTTTCACCCAAACCTTATCAGTTGCCCTAGTTTTGTGCAAAAAAAGTCAGTGCTTTTGTCAAATGAGATCCGTTACGCCTCAAATTCACAGAGCATCACCTACTGCTGGTGATGTCGCTGCTGCATGTGTTGGTGAGGATTCTGCTGCTGTTGCAAGGAACTTGTGTGGTGCTGATGATAATGAAGAAGATGAGGCAAATGGTGGTGGTAATTTGTTGCTTTGTGAAGTGAAAGAGGCTCAATATGACTTTGTAGGCTGGTGGTCATATTAGTGTGTGTAGTGGACACTGGAGTTGGAGTAGCAGCAGGAGATGACTCCTGGCTTACCACGTGCTTCTGAAGTGGCAGTGGCTCTGGCACTTCCTGAAATTAGAGAAATATATATCAAGAGATATTGACAATATCTGTAATCAAGAGTAAAATATTAAATAGCAAAATATTCATATAAAAAATCTTTCAAAATTTCTTTCACACATGCAACATCTGTGCTAGCAGAGATTATCCTTTTACAGAAAAGTTTTCAAAGCTGGATTTCCTATAATGTCCCAGTAAACAATACCTTTCCATTTTGAACCGAGCATGTTTCAAGATCCTGCACTAGCTAATTCTATATGGTACTATACAGGCTTATCCCTTAGAAAAATAATAAAAAATTAGTTGATGCAAATTTTGTTAAAACAGTTTATTTAACTAAATCCATGCCAAAGACAACAGTGTGTAACACTAGAACTTTTCATAAAAAGAAAAAGAAGGAAATTTTGGGTGGATGTATGAATGTTAAGAAAGAACAGCTTGTTAAAACTGATTAAAACTAAATTAAGAAGGGGTAGGAGAGCTGAATAGGAAGGAGTAAATGGGATTAAGCTAAGTGTCATTGAGAGGTAGACAATAACTCAACTGAGAAGCAGTAATTCAATGATACTTTAAGCAGGAGAACCTTTATTGTATGATAATTTACCCACAATATACAGCTTCTCCTCACTTACCGACGTACTCGTTTACCAACAACTCGGAGTTACGACGGGCTCTCTGACGAGTCGTTATTGTATACTGTATGAGAACTTAGGTCATGAATAGGCAGTGCAGCATCTCAGCGTCAAGCATCTTAATCTCCTTCCTACAGCCACTCAGTACACTAGCTTTCACAGCCTCCAAGACTACATATTTGTACAAATTTCCTTTTGTTTTTCCTCTTGGAAGAGGAAAAACAAGAGGAAAATGGAAGTACAAAAGAAGTTCATTGTAAAGGGGTTAGTGATGCATCTCAGCATCAAGCAATCTCCAAGAGTACATATTTCATCTATAAATTTGTACTTTATTGTGCATCCCATAGTAGAAGATAGAGTTGTGCATCCCATAGTAGAAGATAGAGTTGTGCATCCCATAGTAGAAGATAGAGTTTTTCCTCTTCCAAGTGCTGCTGCACTTGGAAGAGGAAAAACAAGAGGAAAATGGAAGTACAAAAGAAGTTCACAGTAAAGAGGTTAGCTGGTGTGTTCATATGTGTGTTTACACTCTCGGTGTATCATGGCAGCTTAAGAAATTATTAAAATCTGTGAACAAGGTATGTCAATGGTAATAATAATAATAATAATAATAATAATAATAATAAATAATATGACATTTAGAGCACTCCAGATCGATTATTATTATTATTATTATAAATTATTATTATAAACTTTATTATAAATTATTATAATAATAATAAATGCTATTTTTGCATTTTTTCTTATAACACGAGTGATCTAGGAGTGTCTCCCCTGACGTAAACACCGTTTTCTTTAGTTATAGACCAGAGGTACAGACGAGAAAATGTATCTATCTTATGATCTTATCCCAGAGCAGCAGCCTCCATGTCTACCCCATTCACATAATATGGCATATACAGTACAGTGGACCCCCATAATTAATCCGTTCCAGAAAGAGTAACTAAACCAGAATCTGACAATTTTCGAATTAATTTTTCCCATGAGAAATAATGTAAATCCAATTAATCCGTTCCAGACACCCGAAAGTATTAACAAAAATTATTTTTTTTATAAACATAGATTTACATACAGAAAAGAATGAGAAATCAAGTATAAAACAATAATATCACACTTACCTTTATTGAAGACTCTTGTTAGTGTATGGAAGATGGAAGGAAGGGAAGAGGGTTAGGGTGATGTTCCTCCACAAATGTTTGCACCTCACTCCACTTTGCACAAATGTCCTTAATCTTTAAAGAAGGCACCTTCTTCCCTCTCTCTTTCTCCTCCTCTGAAGCAATTTCCTCAGCTGGTGTACATAAGAACGTAAGAAAGCAGGAACACTGCAGCAGACCTGTTGGCCCATACTAGGCACATCCTTCACAAACCATCCCACTAACAGAACTGTATTTGCCCAACCCAATTTTCAATGCTTCCCAAGCAATAAGCCTTGATAATTCTATTCATTCATGCACAAGTCCCACTCAAATCAAATCGTGTGTGTGGGAAGTACCCTGTCTGGTGTGTGGGGATGTACCCTGGCTGGTGTGTAGGGAAGTGCCCTGGCTGGTGTGTGTGGGGAAGTGCCCTGGCTGGTGTGTGTGGGGAAGTACCCTGGCTGGTGTGTGTGGGGAAGTACCCTGGCTGGTGTGTTCTTGAATTCTATCATGTTTATCGCCTTCTTTACCAAAGGGCTGGCACTAGGAGCTTTCTTTTGGCCCATGGTGGCTTATTTAGCAGTTGCAAGCACTAAAAAGAATGGAACAATACAAAATGTATCGTATGAATGCATGGGATCGTCCTCAGTGGCTGATAAACAATGGCACTGGCTGTAAATGGTGTGTCTGGCCGCGCAGACACGTTTGGGACGAATGACTATTACCGAGTTCAATGACGATCACCGAATCAATATTTTGACGAAAAAACATTACTTATTCTGAATATTACGAAATCCGATGACTACATAATCTGGGGGTCCACTGTATTATTCATTCCAGCATCTTCATTACAGTTCTAAGATATTTATCATGTTTCTGATATCAATTTGGAATAAATGTAATAGATAACCTTCATTACAAATATGTATTAGCGCAATTACACAGCATTTTATTAGTGACATGGCTAGCATTCAATGCCCATGATGACTAACCAGTTACTGAATGCTACTGCTCGTCTCGCTCTCTCTCTCTCTCTCTCTCATTTAGCTCCTCCCACTTCGTAACGATGTTAGATGGTGAATTTAATGTATTAGACAGAAAATTTTAAAACAAAATTTTAAAAAATCGGAAAAAATTCTGAAAATTCACTACAGGTTCAGATGTATATTACTTGCCGCATCATCAAAATAATTTTTGTAAGATTACTATACTAATTCTTTGTAGAAACATGGTACAAAGATGATACTTATCCCTTTTAGGGTCCCCAGGCCCTCTCCCAGACTTGTTCTCAGGGTCGCCCAAATTTAAAAAAAAAAAAAATTATTTTTTTCTTATGAAAAGATAGAGAATCTTTTCCCGATCATAATGACACCAAAAGTATGAAATTTGATGGAAAACTTACAGAATTATGCTCTCGCAAAGTTAGCGTCTCTACGATGTTTACGCATCAGCGATTTTGCCCACTTTGAGCCCTATTTTTGGCCAATTCCACTGTACTAGTCGAAAAAAATCATAACTATTTCGCTAGAACTCCATTTTGTCTATCGAATGAATACAAGAAACCACCCATTTACCGATTTCAACTATCCAATACAGTGGTCAGAATTTAGCAATTTTGCCAATTTCACACAAATTTCAAAAGATGCCAATTTCCAAATAGGGTCCAGAATAAACAAGAAAGACATTCCTGGCACTAAAATACCATTTCCTCTGTTCATTAGTCACGTCCCCACGCCTCTCACATTCTTTTGCTTTCCACTTTGAATTTTTATTCTCACAAAAAATAGGAGATTTACTGTTATGCAGACTACTTCATTAGTGTAGAAATGGTATAAATAATATCAGCGCACTTGTGAAAGAATATCAGACTCACCAGTTGACGTGTATTGGACGCTTAGCATGATTTGTTTACTTTTAAACTTTGGTAAAAATCGAACATTTCTGCTACTTTGAGCTCAATGTCAAGGTACTTTTCATTGTAGAACCAGTCAAAATCATCTCAATTTCTGTAATATGTCTTCCATTCTATAAAATGAGACCAGGAAAACTAGAATACAACAATAAATACCATACGAAAATACAGTGGACCCCGGTATTCGATGGCATCGGTATTCGATAAATCCGGTATTCAATGCATTTTAATGCAAAAATTTTGCCTCGGTATCCAATTGAAAACCCGGTATTCGATACGATTCGTACGAGACGTGTCCACGTGTGGTCTGAACTGCCCCGTGTGTGCCAGTGTTTACAAGCCAGCCAGTGTGCGCGCATCTAAGCATACATTCGGTACATTCCATATTATCACTGTTTTGGTGCTTGTTTCTGCAAAATAAGTCACCATAGGCCCCAAGAAAGCTTCTAGTGCCAACCCTGTGGTAAAAACAGTGAGAATTAGTATGGAAATTAAGAAAGATTTTGAAGGGTTTGGGGCTAACCCTGAGAAGCCTATGCCAGTTGTGGAATCCACTGTGCCTACTTCAAAAATTAAGGAAATGTGTGCACAGTGGGTTGAACTGCAAACCTTTATGGATGAAAATCACCCTAACACAGCTAGTGCAAGCCGTGCTGGTGACTATTACAATGACAATGTTGTGGCCCATTTTAGACAAATCGTAAAGGAACGGGAGGTACAGAGCTCTATGGACAGATTTGTTGTGCAACAGAGGTCCAGCGACTCTCAAGCTGGTCCTAGTGGCATCAAAAGAAGAAGGGAAGTAACCCCGGAAAAGGACTTGCTACCTCAAGTCCTAATGGAAGGGGATTCCCCTTCTAAACACTAACACCATCCACACTCTCCCCTCCTCCCATCCCATCAATCATCACCAGATCTTCATTAAAGGTAAGTGTCAATTATTCTATTGTTATTTTTCTGTTGTTATTGTTGTTATTGTAATTATTCTATTGCATTAAACTTAATATTTCATGTTGTAAAATATTTTTTTTCATACTTTCGGGTGTCTTGCACGGATTAATTTGATTTCCATTATTTCTTATGGGGAAAATTGATTCGCTTTCGATATTTTCGGTATTCGATGAGCTCTCAGGAACGGATTAATATCGAATACCGGGGGTCCACTGTACAGCGCAAAGTCCCTGTTTTAATCCAAAAACACGGTCAAAGTTTTTTTTTTCTCATTACGCACTGTGTGCTGCAGGATTTTTTTTATACTGCACACACTGACCACATAGACCAATTCTTTCATATGTAGGCCTACCAGCTTTCTCTCACTAGATTTGA